TCTTCACTGAGCAACTGAGGAAGGGACGAGAGAGTGTTTGAAGAGCCACCAAGTTTATTCATTTCAACTATCTTTGCAAACTGAAAGGGTGTAACGAAGAAAGTCCTTGTGGCTTAAGAGATTCAGTATAGGTAAAAGAAATAATTGGCTATTTTGAGCGAAAAGTGTGTCTAGTTTTCCTTTTCTTAGTAATTGGTGAAAATTCCTCGAGAAACTAATTGGGCCGCATTTTCCATCATCCTTGTCAATTGTATATGTAAAGCTTGATGTCAATTGACAATATTTCACGCGACAGTTGCCATGAGAGTGTTTGTAATAGAAAGCAATAATTTATTAATTGACAAATGGAATACTGCAATAAATATATTCAGTACACAGTAACACCATTTGGGGGGAAATTAATTCAATAAAAAGGACACAGAGCAGAGAGTATTTTGGGATTAAGCTGGGAGAAAGGCAGATAATTGTGAATAAAAATGTCACAGAGCTGTGAAATGAGACGAAATTGTGTCTTTTTTCTGCACATTTTGACCAGTCTAAATTCCTTCTAATTGACAAATTTGATAAAGCGAACTATTTTAAGTATCGATAATTTGTCTGCTCAATCACACAGAGTAATAAATGAAATTTAATTCAAAGAAATCGATACAATTCAGCGTTTTTTTTTGGCATGAAACACTCCAGACGAGGACAGTGTCAGACTGCACTTTACTCTTCCATTTGGCCAGAGCTCCGTGATGCTGTTTCCATTGGGGGACACTTCTAATTGGGTTGGGTGACAGACAAGTTGAAAGGTCACTGCAAAATTCATGGATTGCTCGTGCGCAAACCGCGCGCGATCGGCTTTGGGGCGAGAGGAGATGGAAAGGTGAAATGAATTAGCAAATATGTATATCCTGCGAGTGGAAATTCATTTGCAGCCAAGGAGAGAGTCCTCCAGTGTCACCTGGAATTAAATTCGCCGGATATTTCTGCAGTTGTGACTCCGTGACGGGGCTAAAAATAGGGATTTGTAGTGTATGTGTGGCTTTTCCTGTGGATTCATTCACCTCACCGTCCATTGATGGGTGGTGTGTGTGTTCATTGAAGAGCCTTCCCCAGGACACAACAGGGAGCGCAATGCATTTCCGATCCCACCACTTGGACAGACGGAAAGCTCATGAAAATATCATCAGTGTATCGATTTCGTGAGCCGCGCGAGAAGCCTCATAAGTATGAATTTAATAGTCGCAATTCGGTGGAATGGCATGAATTATATGTATGTGGGGCTCCTCTTGAAAAGCCATGAAAAGTCGGGAGAGAGGAAAATCGTCTGACACGAGCAGTAATGTGGCAGGAGAGAAACAAGAGGCGTCGAAATGTCTGCACTATCTTTTGCATTGGCTCAAGCACTCTCTCCCTCTCGCTCTCTCTCACTCTCTCTGCTGAAAAATTCATGTTTTACACACTTTAACTTCGCTGGCTTTCACCACACAAAACCCCCGCTCAAAATGCCATGTGCGGTGAGTGAAATCAAAAGAAAATTGCTGAGACGACTAGGAATGCGGTGTTTGGAATCATTGGCTGAGAGATGTACGTTTCCGATTTTCACTGAAACCCACTATCAGAATCAATTGAGGAATTTTTCCCCTGATTCAGTGCATTCAACGAGAATTATGTTATTCAATATACTATCTATCCAGGATTTATGGATATTACCGGGGACACGCTGATTTGTGTACAAATCTCATGCGATTCATCAGATCGGGATGATTGTGTTTGGCACCACACTCAGGAAAAATAGGAGGAGAGACAGAGAGTGAGAGAGAGAGTTTAGTGAAGTGTACTTGACAGTTATCATCCAGTGTAAACCGCTGAAATGTAATTCCAACGGAGTAATTACTTGTTAGCTTAAATCGGATTAAGCGTATTCATGCCACTGTAATTGATAATACAATATTTATAAACAATATCACTTTGAGGCTCTTGACAAGGGAAATTCTACATAAGTCCCGCCCACTCTAGTGCTCCGCCCATTTCTCTTAAATCCCCTTAAAGACCTACAGCCTTTAAAACATCATATTTCTCCCAGTGCACGCTTTTGCAGCACTTTAATCCTCTTGCATTCTTTTTTGGGTGAATTTCTTCTATTCACAAAAATATCCTCGAGTAAATACCTCATTGTACAGCTTTGGGAGTCAGCTATGGAGGAGAGTATAGGGAAAAAAATAGGATATAATACATATAGAGGAAAATATCTCTGTGAAATGGTGTGATTCTTTTTGAGTCTAGACGCTTGCACTGATTTACGGATATAGCGAGGAGAAGTATCGCATGTAGTAACAATAAATAAGAATAAATAAGAGGAGCATGGAACTTTTGGCAATCATTACAAGATTTTCAGACTGACTGGCGACGCTTTTATCGAACGATGGCTTCATAGTCAAAGATGGAACGCCATTATGAAAATGATATCTTCTCCATTCTTCTCCATCCTCTGGACCACAATTTCGGAGCTCCGCTCGCTCTTCATGACTTACAATTGTGCCACATACTACCCAGTAAACTTACATCCGCATACAATATATTATTACATAAAGCTCCGGCTGAGGATGGATTGGGAAGCGAAGAGGAGATGCTCAGACGGGAAGATGATGGGGCGAAAGAGCCAAGGGAATGCGACTCCATCAGCGAGATTCCGACATTTCAGTAAAAAAAAAGAGACGAGAAGTCTCGGTGGTATTTTACATAATTTCATCATCAATTTTATTGTAATAATGTATAAAAGACCCATCAATGACTATCTCACATGACATCCAGCAAATCTTATTCTTCACTCTCTAAGAATTTATAGCAATAATAATGAAGTATCTGCGGCATCGGTGAATGTCTGCCGTCTTATTCGGCTTGGGAGGTGAACAGAAGCCGCGATGGAAATTGCCACAGAAAAGGCCAGACGCCCAAAGTGAGGTAACAAATAGTCTCCTCTTCATCTTTCACAAAATCATCGTATTTCTCTTGCATCACTTAACACGCTTCAGAGATTCAAATCGCCCTGATGCTCCGGGCCCCAAATATTGGGCCGCGTTATTGCCTGTGTGTGTATCGCGAGCGGGAGAAATTTCCTCCCACAGAGACACTAATTGAAATATTTATTGCTCCAGTATAGAAAGCTAATTAAAACATCAAAGCTCTCTCTCTCTCTATGGACAGAAAAAGAGGAGGAAAAAGTTGCGAGTTGAAAAATATTTGCTTTAGCGATGAAAATACTTCTGCACTTTGGGAAATAGCTCACATTTTTTTTACGATTGGCGCACAATTCGCGAAGGGAATTGGCGAAAGGGTGGACAAATATCGACGCCAGACTGAAGATTAAATGATTATGGATGAGAAGTAATTGGCGCGACGCGAAGGGAAAACATCGCGGTATAATTTTCTGAGGGTATTTGTCATAATACATGATCAATCAGTTCACGAAATCACTTTTGGTGTGCCTCCCGAGACTCACCGTCTCGCAGCATCGATTACCATAAAATTCAAATCATCAGCATAAAAAGGCAATATAGTGTAGTTTCTCTGGCTACAGTTTTTCGGCCACGCTCTTCGAGTGTTGTGCTAGAAGAAAGGGCGAATCATAAATCAAGGCACGAATGCATATTTTGTGCCCTGTCGGACATTATAATGCGTGATACGCTTATTACGTATATAAATTGAGGTCCGCCAGAAGTAATAAGCGTAATTCTGGGCCAGGATTTTGAGCGTCTGCGACACACAAGTCCGCAATGTGATGGATCCGACCGCCAGATTAGATCGATATATTTCGCACATCTTGGACGACATGCGAGTGCAAGACTTTGGGAGATGATGGAGTGACGGAGAATTAGTCAATTTATCATTTTTTCAAATGCCGCAACAGCACTTGATCATGCCAGACACTTTGCTCTTGTCTCATTCATTAGCCACTAATTGTGTATCTAATTTTTACTTCCCGCGCGCCAAAAATAATTCCCTCTAATCCCGCGCTCACGCGGCAAAAACGGTCCACTTGTGAGGAGTTAATTAAGTGAAAGGCCAGGGAATACACACCTTCTTTTTTCTCTCCAGACTTTCCCGCTTTGCGCGCACTGTGAAGATGTGTCATCGAGACACTAATGAATTGACTGATGGTGTTAATTAAAAGCTCCTTTTTGTTCCTCAAAAGTCGACTTGATTGCGTCGCGCTGAGCGTTTGGGAGATTTTTATCGATGAATGGCAACATAGAATTATCTTGGGCGGACTTTACTCACCTCAATTTTGCTGCCTTTGTTGTCATCTTTGCGCCAGCATCAAATTGATTGGTTAAGACGCGCGATGCGAGTGTGTTTAAATCTCACGCAATTTGATTAATGCGCACATGGGAAACGTCTGCCGGACTTGTAAAGCAACACCTTGGAATTTTATTCAAAATTTGTGGTTTCACTCAATAATGATAAACTTTTATGAGACTCAACTCGTCTCGAGATGAATTAGTTAGGATAGAAAAACGATTTTTAATGGTCTGCTTAAGTGTCAGTTATATAAAGAATTGGGACGAAAGACATCCGCAAAAATTAGTCAAAAAATGCCTCAGTGAAGAAAGTCTGGATCTTAAGAGGTTGTAAGACAAGCCATTGTAACTTTCAACGAGATTTGCGTAATTTTGGGATGAATCTCTACAATAAAGGAGGATTTGGGCTTTTTCACAAAATATTTCACATTCCTGCGGCCTGTCGTGAATGTGACAGCAAGAAATTCTCGTGGCGGTCGCGTGGATTTTCCGGAGAAAGAGAGAAAGTCTCTTCCACTCGTGGACTTGCTCAGAAATTGTGAGCAACCCCCACTCGTTTTGCCACCCCTTCGCCGAGTCTCTCTCTTGTGCATGTGCTTTTGCTCTCCATGTGGCACTTTTGGCTGGCGAGAGGCGCAAGAGAGCTCGAGTGGCAACACTGTGATTTCTGGTCTCTCCGCTGTCTCGCGAGCTCTTCGCCTTCATTCTCCGCTAGGACGTCCGACGGTTTGGTGGCAATTCCTCCGCAATCTTCACCGCAGGTTCACGTGTGTGCTTTCCTTTGGGGTGGCTCTGTTCAGCTCTTCTGTGTGCCGGAGTGCCGAGGCCCGAAGTGGGGACACAATTGAGCGACAGTTTTTCGATGTGATCGCGCCCCCGGAAAGGGGTTGAGGGATGACTTCTGTGGTGGTGCATTGACGTGTGCCAGGTGGACTGTGAGTCTCGTTCTCATGCTCCCTAATTGGATTTCCAATAACAGTCTGATTACCAGCAATTGGCACATTGTAACACTGGCAATTCTTCCGTGTATGTGTGTTTAATCCATAAAGTGAATTTATTTCATCTAATCCTGCACTGCAGCTATTGATCTTCGCGGCATTCTTACACTGACCAGAGCGACAGAAGAAAGAGGATTGTAAAGTGTTTGTAAAGCCGAGTGATTATCGTCAGATTAATTGCAAACCAAATATATTGTGAAAGTTTCTCCGTCATAATGAGGCAGAAGTTTTAGGGCTGCAGGAGAAATCAGCGAGACAAACTTCAATTTCTGGATTAATTAGCATTCTCATGGAAATTTTTACTTAATGTGAGTATTGCGATTATCATCCATTAGCACCCAACATTCGGGGATAAAACAACCAAGAGCTAATTACAAGTCGGATCTCAATGCAAAGTCAAACGAGTTCTCTCCGACGTGTGATGTCTCGCATGAATAACGTTTCTTGTTTCTCGTGTTTTCTTCGATGGTGTGGAAGTGAAATTAATGGCTTAAGATGCTGTCCAACACGTGCAGTACCGAAAATCTCTACTGTTTTTCGCCACGACAGTCGCAGAAAAAGCGAAGACATGAATGGTCGTTTGGTGAAACTTATATCCTATTTCGTGAATAATTGCTGCGACTCTGGCCGTCAGTGAGCATTCTTCAGAGTCACAATTTAGCTGGCACATAATTGTCTTAAGGCCATCTTTCAAGAATTAGAAAAAACTATGAAGATAAGTTGATGGAGAATTTATTGCTCTTCGGGAAGCCCAACAATCGGTATTTCACCGAAAAACGCTCTCAACCAGTTATGGTGATATCTTTCGCCCCCGTGTTTTTTTTTCACGCTTATCTAGATGGAAAAACACCTTGGAGATTTACCGATGACTTCGGAATATATAGGAAAGTTTCCACTTTGCCTATTGTTCATTAATTTCCGTGGCGTCTTTTGACCCTCTTTCAACTCTCGGTGCGAGTGGCGGAATATTCAAATTTAATTAAATCCCGCTGAGTGAATTTAGTGCAAAGTTTAAACTGTTTAAATTGCTCGTATTTATCTATGTTAACACCTTCCTTGAGCCAACCACTCCGCAGCTATGTGGAATTAATCACACCCCCGACCAGAGCTCATTTCGGGAGGGCGGTTATCTCCCTCTGATCGGGATGAGCAAGTGAAAATTCGGACAGAAGTGAGCAAACAAGTCGAATATATGCAGACGAAGAGCCATTTTGGCCATGTCTGCGTCCTCGAGGCTGCTTTGGAGGGAGACCAATGGAACAGGTGAATCGCATTTCGCTGCCTTGACAAGTGTGTATATATTCATAAAATGCAAATGATTAAAATTGAGCTGAAAATCACGCGACGATATTTCACATTGAACCACACAGACAGAGACAAACACACCTGTTTAACCAGATTCCACGCATTTCGCCAGATTATGGCTGAAGATGAGCACAATTTGGCTACGCGAAGCCACGCATTAAAGGTAGAAAAAAGTGTAATCACATGCGCGAAATATGCTAATGCCATCAGCATGTGGAGCAGTGATCATGTAAAAGTGATTGCAGTGACACATTTGATAACAAACAAGCAATTTGACTATTTCATCGATAGGCCACAAATTTTATGGCTCTTCTTGCCATTTTGGGCACGAGTGTGAGAGAGTAAAAAAATCCTCGCTTTTCCTCCCAGTGGCAAAATTATATTCCGACAGTTAAGCGTTACGTGAAAGAGTCGCTTTTGTGTGATTTCGTGGCGATGGTTTTGATCCCCGTGAGCGAGTTGTTGACATTGCGCCACCACAATTCACCGCCCTTTTGTAGTCACTCCACTTTCTGTCTTTCGCACTTTTTTTTCGCCTCCCCCCGAAATCTGTCCGACGAAATCACACAGTTGATTTTCTGCAGAAAAAGCACAAAGCATAACACTTTCATTCATGGGGAAAAAGCACTATTTGTAGGAACTGTCCCATTAATTCGATGGGAAGGAGATTCAATCAAGGGGCGAATAGCAACGAAAGATTCTTCCAGGATATTTCCACGGATTAAAGTCAGATCGAAGAGGAGCTTGAAGATAAGGAAAAATGTCTGTTGTCGCGCAGAGATTCCGAGAATAGATAACAAAAATTGGGATCTGTGCGAGAAAAGGTTGATCTGAGATTCACTGCAACTTGTCAATCTCTCCTAATAATCTGCCATGGATTGAAGAGTGATTGAAATTTTCTGTTGCAACTACAATTCAATGTGTCACTTCTTATTACTTGCCAAATTCGACTGGCATTGGACTTGAGATTCTCTGGCTAAGAAAGGGTCAAATCCATTGTGCAGATGGTGGGAAAAAGAGCTGAGTGGAATTTTGCAGGTGTGAGAAAAGTCCTTTCGCCTCAGAATATCCCCTTGATATATCGGCCAAAGTGTCCCTTTTGCCCGTTGTTCACGTTTTATTGCGACTCACCTAACTCAATGCTTCAGATCCACCCACAAATTGCACTATTTGCCAAGCCTGGAGCAACACAGGTTTCATTCCAATAAAATTGATCTTCAATGTATTTTATGCCACGGACACCCAGAGAGCCCCCCGAGAGCCCCCCGAGAATTGGTCAATGAATCTCTAAATGCCATTCTGACCGTCCTCAATCCATTCTCATGGCCCCATTTCTGCGCCCACCCCACGGACGGGTCACTTTTTGTCCAGCACCGGCAGCCACCCTGATTTATATCCCGACGGTGGAATGTGTGACTATTTTGGCGATGAGCAGAAGAAAGGGTGTAATGAATCCCAGTCGCTCCGATTGCCCTTTTTTTAATTGAAAAATTCCCTCCTCGGCCGCAGAGTTTCACTATCAAATGTGAATTATAGATCTGCGCCGCATGAATTCTTCATTGTGGGTTTGTCTCGGCAGAGGCGTTGTGCATTTGATTTGATACTCTTCGTCCGCACATTTAAAATTCATTGCGAGGGAAATCGGATCAGTGCTTGGGGGCCGAGAGAGAAGTCACTTCCAATCGAGAAGGTGGCAGAATTCAATTGTGTGAGCATCAGTGTGAGGGTGGAAAGGCGGGGGAAATGGTGATATGAGGGATTGACAGTAATCAGAGGGTGTGATTTGATGGAAGTTGATATTTGCGATCTCAAACTGTATCAACTTGAATTGGTAATTAGGGTTGGGTTAAGAGGATTCCATCCATTGTTGACTGAAGGTTGAGCTCGCCTAAGCCCAGCAATTTGAAACTTTCGATCGATTGATTTTTGGACTAATTTGCCGAAATCCCCGCACACACAGATATTCACCCCGCATTGGGTCAATAGATTAATAACGAGAGTCTGGAAATGTTGTGTGCTTTTTTGAAGGGTCTCTGGGCGTGTCTCTCAGGCACGTTCTGGCGTCAGGACAACCTGACATTCTCATACGAGGGCAATCAGTAAATCTTCTGACGAGTCTTCAATCGTGCCAGGGTTCAGGTTGGCCTCTCGTGACCCTCGGTGAAATCCTGCCGGAGCACAATTGATGGATGATGGCGTGACCCTGTTGGTGCGCTGAAAGATTCCCCAAACACACCTTTTCACTCCTCCGCCGCAGTGATTCTGCATCGGCGAAGCTGCCTCATCGGTTTTTCAGAAATTGAAATGAAAATCCACCTTCTCATGATAATTTATCACAATTATATGTGGATTAATGTAATTACGTCTGGGCGGTGGATTCGCCGTTGATGCTCTCGAGCGGGCATTTATTAATTTTTCACCTCTTAAGCATATCATGTCAAAGGCAGTAATTTCTCAATCATCTGTCAGATGCTATAAATGCACCAGTCTCACGATGGCTGATCAATGAAGAGGACTAAATGCACAGAATGGACTTTCTGATGCGCCATCCAAGAGAGGCGAATCATCGCAGATGAGAGAAGACATTGAAATCAAGCAGAATTTACTGGTTTCTTATCTAAATTAGAGCAACAATTTTAGATTTTTGCGATTTTTGCTAATATTCTGCTGAATTAATTGCTTTTTATGGCAATTGCGTATGTAAATTTGAAGCAAATGAATCAGGAAATTTACTTTTGAAGCTTTTTTCTCTTCTTTTCGGTTAAGAAATCTCTTGAATCTTTCAAAATTCTTGCTCTCGGATTCGTTGGATTATTGATGATATTTTTGCATCTCTTTTATCTCAAGAAAACGTGGCTCCACGAATTTATAATGACTATCCCAATCCCCGTGCCATATTAGTTATGTAATTATAGCCCTCGGACCGTCTTCTCTTCGCATGAAATCTTGGGCCTTTCCGCTCTTCTCCTCATCGTCGTTACAGAATTCATTTGGGTGTGTATCTTGAGAGATTCCACGTGAGATTGTTAAACGTGAAATTCATTCATTTTAAATAGCTGGCCGAGAGGCGAGATTTTCATTGCTCTCTCGAGTCTCTTCCTCACTCTATTATTCACATCTTAATTTACCCAAAATGATATACAATCGAATTAATACATATTATGCACTGGTCGATGTGCACAAGAACGCCTTCGCGATGTGAGAGAAGCAGATTGAATGTTCTGCCATGATTGACCTTCCGCCAAGAGTCGCTATTGTGTTTTTATGAAGAGCCAGTAAAGATTTTTAACACAATTGCCATCGTGTTTTACACTGATTTACGCCCAGTCGTAAGACGACTTTTCGGCAGTTAAGGAAATGACCGGCTGAATGGTTTGTGGGATTTATTGTGGCGTGCAGCATTGATTTTACCATGTGAGGTCAAAGGGTTAATTTGGCCATACAACACTAAATTATATTATATTAAATTTAATGGGGTTCCTCAGCATACAAATTCCTTGGAATAACACATTTGTGTGTGTTTGTGTGTGTATTTTGGGGAATATTCACTATATTAAATGAATTTCCAAATCAAATTTATCGCTAATTAAGTTTTGACATTTTCTGGTGAATTACATTAAATGCTATAAATACGGCTTGAATTAATTAACACTATCCGCATGTAAAATCACATCGACAGCCAACAGAAGAGTCATGCTGCTGTTGGGATAATATTGAATGAGAGATGCTATTTATATATTCTTTCTCCTATCCAAAGAGCTGATATTCATATAGACATATTTCTCTGACTATTCGCAGCATCAAAAATGCCAATCGATTTGGCATTCATGACAGGAGAAATTTCAATTTTCAAAATACTACAAATTCCATTGGAATTGCGATCGAGCGATAGCGTTTCATCCAAATGTTTATGTTCCCTCTCGCATATCCAAATATTTAATCATTCAGTCGTGAAAATGCACAACTCACCCTGGCATTGTCCCAAATAAGAGAGTGGCGAGGT